TTCGGGAGAAATAGCAGATTATGCATCGGAACTGCCTGGGATACAAACATCATGCGTGTAACTAAACTCTTTTTTTTATTATTATTATTTTTTATTTTTATTAAGTACAAAAAAAGTGAATACAACAAATTGGCAAAAGAATTCCAGTATGGAAGGCTCAAAATAATCGAACCAATTAGATTCCATGCAAAGTGTATAACAAAATATTTCAAGAAAGAGAATCAAGTATACAAATAGGAAACAAAAACTAAATGAGAATAATAAAAGAAAAAAAAAGAATCACATCGACTTATATAATACAAACAGATTAAACAACTTTACTGCCTTTGGATTTTTCATTTTACTAAGGGCATCTGAAAAGTATTTTAGGTCATTTTTAAATACAATAAACAAAGGGGCGCTTTAAGATATTGACATTTATGTATAAAGTATTTTGCTAATAATATCATATTATTAATCAAATCCTCTTTTAAAGTTAGAGTGAAACTATCAGCAACCACACGCTTCTCTACCATCCAGTCTTGCCAAGCTTTCCAAAAAGATTGGGACAAACTACATGTAAAAAATATGTGTTCTGTATCTTCATATACATTTTTGCATAAGTAGAAAGGTATATTCTTAAAATTAAATTTTGAACGCAAAAATGTATTGGAGGCATATTTATCATTTTGGATTTTAAACTGCATTTCTTTTATCTTAGGGAGAATAGGGAGTTTTAGATAGGCTATTCTAAAGTACATAACAGTATTTTTATCAAATGTGTGATCTAATTTATTTCTTAATATTTGACAAGGGTAGCTTGACTGGATGATAAGCTGTCTTAAATATTTGTTAGTGCAGATTTATTCTCTATTTCAATATCACCAACATATAACAAAGGAAGGACAGCAGTAATTTTGGAATAGGAAAGGTAACATCTCATTAACATTTTTATACCTGAAGGTATTGCATTAATAACAGTAAAGAAATGTTTTGGGTGACAGGCAAATCCATGTTTTAAAGTAAATGAATTATAGTCTAACATATTACCACTCTCATCCATTAAATCCAAAACTGACCAAATATTTCTATTTACCCATTCCTCAAAAAATAAGGATTTGTTCTTATGTAGGATATATGTAGGATATATTTGTTATTCCATATTGGAGTATTGTGGGGTGTGAACAGCTGGATCAGGTAAATTCTCTCGATGGCAAAGATGCATTTATGTCTGTGTGTTATACCTATCCAAAGTTACGAGCCTGAGATCGAGTGTGAAAATCAACGCAATCTTGTTTATAGTTTTATTTACCTGTAATTAAACTTGTTAATTTGGCACGCGCAGCATTTCGGCGCGTTTTCCCGCCGGCGTCACACTGGCATCCAATATTTCCCGAGCTATTTCACATACTTGACTTCCTTCTTCATTAGAGGATGCTGTGCTGTTTTTATATTTTATGTATCGTACAGAATAATAGAGCGCAGGCTAAAGTGCAGTTCGGTCCCCAGCGAGTCTCACAGCGCGGCGTGTCTCACAGCGCAGGGAGCAGCCGGAGCGCCGCAGACTCGGGCGGCTACATGAGTATATTGGGAATAAAATGTGTGTATTGGAGCGAGTTCTGTGTTAGTGAGTGTGTGAGGTGTGACAGTGAT